CCATAAGGACGTTGAACTGTATGTTTAACAGGTTAGAAATATAAATGTAAAAAAGGAGACTGTGTGTTTTTAGCAGAAGTGGTTGTCAGAGCTTTTTGTTGATGTTGTTGACCAGTGGAGTAATGAGCCTCGATGCTGCCAGGGGGCGCCACACTGCCACAGTGAAGGCTAAAGAAGCAGCACACAAGTGTGAAGTGGCTGAATGTCAGATCCCTCTGTTGTTCACTCTTCAACCTGATTTCTGAAGCGAAAACCTTATTTTGTAAATTACTTGTAAAAACAGTAACAGTCTCAAATCCTGAGGCCGGTGAAGACGTGTGAGGTCACTCCTCTCGAGTCTGCGTGGAGTGCACCCCCATCACCGCCGTAGACTGAACTGGTTCTGTGAGAGACACTGAGTCTCAGACAAAGTGTGTGTGTGTGTGTGTGCGTGTCCTCAATGTAGCTGTAAAGACGAGCGTCGTCTTTCTAGAGACTGTGACGTTGATGCAGCGTGAATACACAGAAGTATTATACCAAGTACTACGCCCTGTGGGACGCCTCAGTTAACACAGGGAAGATTGAATTATTGTGAACGCGCCTGCTCAAGTATTTAATACTGTAGATATTGATAACAACTGACACGTGTACTTTTACTGGAGTATATTTCCGAACGCAGGTAATCGTCTAATGAATTAAAACCCAATGAACAAACTGTCTGTTTAATTATTCGGAATCACAATGAGATCGATAATCTGTCAAACGAGCTGATTCGACCCTGATGAAATGTCTCGGCAGCTTCGTCTCTGACGTCTCATCTCAAATCGTTGGTGAATAATTGGTTTGGATTCCGGTGGTGGTCGCTGTCGTCTCTGGTAACCTGAGTGGAAACGTGGGATTTTCAACTTAACTGCATGTTTGTGATCTTCGTCATAATCCTAATCACGACTTGTTGGAATGTTGTGAATTGCGCTTGTTGTGCACGTGTGGGTCTTTGTCGTTAATACCGATCCTGTTCAGGGGCTGAGGTTGGAGCTAACTGAGGACAGACACAGTGGTGGGAGACGCAAACTTTCAAATCTTGAATCCTACTTAAGTAAAAGTACATAAGTATTATCAGTGAAATACAGTACACAGGATAACTCTCTGTAGTAAAATGTTCCCTGTGGTATTTATACTTCATCTGTGTGGACAAATGTTTAAGGTTTGAGTTTTAGTGTCCAGACATTCACACAGAAAGTTCAAATTCACTTTTATTCTTTCTTTAGTTTATGTTGTGACGATAAATCATCAAATTTAAAATCTAAAAAATGAACTGAGGAGATTTCTGCCGCTCACGATGTGAAGATTTGAGACTCGTCACTGTTTCAGTCCCCAGATCCTGAATTAAACAAAGAGACGTGAAGCTGCTGATCAGACTCTGGTTTGATCAGGATGTGTTGAATTGTTCCTGAAACCAACGCACACTCTCGCAGCAGTGTGGCGTGTTGCTGCTGTGTCTTTGTGACAGTGTGTCTTTGTGTTGTGTTGAGGTACGACAACTACGTCTACAAGTCAGTGTCCAGCAACGGTCTCGGAAATTCTAAGGGCGGCAAGCAGAAGTACGTCTTCATCTACCGGTGAGACAGATCTCAAGCTGCACTTGAATCCTCTTGTGTGAACGACGTGCTAATGAAACAGTTGCTGCTTCCAACCATTCATGTTTGAATTGAACCTGTCGTCGTGTGAAACAGGACACAGACGGTGAACGTGACGGATCAGCATCAGTACGAGACCAAACCCCCGACCTTCGCCAGAGAACCGTTTGCTGTGAAGTTCCAGAGCAGGAAGACGAGTCAGTGAACACATCACATACTTGAATGATGTCACATCGTATAAAAAACCACGACTGACTTCCACCTTCGTTCTTCCTCCTGTTCTTCATCTCCCTCCTTCCTCCCTCAGCGATCAAGAAATTTATTTTGGTTCCTGTCCACACGGAGCCGACGCAGGCCGTCCAGGAGATCGACCGTCTGTACGACGTCTTTGAGAAAGTCAGTAAGAAGTGGAACAACACGGTGAGGACACAGTATTTAAAATCATCAGGCAGCGTCCGTCTCCTGAGACACAACGTCTGAAAAAGTCCAAATGTGAAATTAGTGTTTGCTCATCGTGTGTGTATGTGTGTGTGTGTGTGTGTGTGTGTGTGTGTGTAGAATGTGATGTTCCTGGGAGACTTTCAAGCCGCCTGCGCCCACATGACCCGACTCGATAAGAAGAAGATCAGACTGTTCACAAACTCAAACTTCTCTTGGCTGATCGGAGACAAAGTGGACACGACCGTCTCAGAAGACACCAACTGTGCATATGACAGGTGTGTGTGTGTGTGTGTTCCTGTACTCATACCTTTGTGAGGACCATTTTCAGCATAAACCCCGCAGAGTGAGGACGAGTCAAAATGTCCTCACTCTCTCAAAGTTCTGTTTGAGGGATAAGACTTGGTTTTAGTGTTAGAATCCGGTTCAGGTTAAAGTTATTCATTTAGTTTGGATGGTGAAGGTTTGAGAGGAAATGCATTACGCCAGTGAGTGTCCTCACCAAGGTACAAGTACACACATGAGTTTTTGTATGTGGAGCAGCAGGCGTCAACAAGTTCTGTCTGTTTCAGGATCGTGGTTTATGGGAAAACTTTCCTGAAGGCGATCACTCCGTTCTCTGCGAAGGTCTACGACATCGGGAAGCAGCTGAAAATCAGAAAGTCCAAGGTTTGTTCAGAACTCTTGACCTCTGACTCGTTCACTTATTGTCAGGAACCGGTTTGTTTACGTTCTTCCGGGCTCATGGAAGCACAAGATGGCCGACACGAGACGACAGCGTTTGTATCTGCGATGTTTGACTTCGTGTTTGTACGAGAGGAAGTAAAGACACGTTGTCCATATTCATAAACAGTCATTGATCGTCTACATACGATAAACCAACTTTCTTTTGTCCACTAGGTGAAAGAGATTAGTGACCACTACCCTGTGGAGGTGAAACTGAAGAGCTCCGCCCTGCTCCTTCAGGCCACGCCCCTCCTGCTCCTCCTCCTCGCCCACTTCTTCCTGTGACCGTACAGTCCTCACGTTGTTCAGACTCACACCGATATTCTAACCACCGCATTTATTTAAGTCACGTCACCTGGTGTCTGTCACTTGACCAAAGTAAAATGTCGGAATTTTTTATTTTTTTTTTAAAATCACGAACAAACTTTTCCCACTCGACACAAAGTTTAAATTCTCCTTTAACTTCTACGATTGAAAGACGGTTGAATTATTTTCAATTGTTCCGAGAGAAATGAGCCGAGCAGTATTTTAGGTCTCGCTGCTGTGACCTCTCATCCACAGCACCACCTACTGGTGGAGGCTGTTCAAAGTTAAACAGCTCATATACGTGTGTACAGTTCATGACGCATCGTATAAACCAGCGTCTTTAGATTTTTGTAGCAGGTGAATCTCTGTTTTTAAAAATCTAATATGATCATTCATCATCGTTTGTTCGTCTCCGCCCAGAAACTGATGTAAATATATTTGGAAAATTACATTTATGGTTTTTATTGCTTAGTAAAGTTTTGTATGTTGAATTTCTTGAAATTGTTGTCGTCTTTTTACAAAATAACATTTTTTTGTCATAGAAAGTAAAAATACACAAGTTGTGTTGAGCTGAATTCAACAAAGTACCACGAAGGTTCAAACAAGTCAACATGTGAATTTAAGAAGAATCTTATTTCCCCTCACGTCACGGACTCTCACTGTGACGCACATCTGGAACAGCCTCGTGTCCAGATGTGATTTTAACCGGAGTGCCGTGGAGCTGCGCTGTACTCGAGCCGGCCACGTGAGGGCGCTGCTGCAGCTCAGCAGGTGAACTCAACCTGTCGGCGAGGAAGAGCAGCTGCTTCCGAGCAAGATCGTCTAGTGTCGTGCAGATGACTCACTACCTGTAAAACACTGAGTGATGTTTCCTGGTTTATTGGTCCTTCACAGTAAAATCCTCTTGATGAACAAGTTCCTGGTTTGTTTGAACCTGCTGC